GTTTTTCGCTGTCATCTGAATATCAATATTGGATTTTTTAATTTTTCTAAATTTTGTTTTATTATTATCTTCTGATATTTTTCTAAAGTTTTCTATTTTTCTAATATTTCTTTTAGTAATATTTAGTTACTTTGTGTCCATAAATTTTCATGTCTAGTCAGAAAGAAAAATCGATAACGCCATTAAAGTGAAAAACAAAAAATACAAAAACTTCCCTTTCTGTCTCATTGCCTTGACACAATTGACAAGCCGATGGCAGGCGGCTGAGCACAACGAGCGAGGCCATCCAAACAAGTAATGAAGAAAATTTCCGTTTGTTGGCGATAAAATGCAGAAGAAATCACAATAATTTTCTAGAATTTTTTTTTTCGAAATTTAGAAACAAAATACGACAATTACATATGTGTGTACATAATGTAATATGTAATAGTAGAAGTGTGTTGTTTTTTTCTGCTTTAAAACTTTAGTACAAACACATGTGCATGGAGAGCATGGGAATCTAAACAAACTGCCTGGCTGGCTGGCTGCCTTCCGGACACCCATTTCGTTTGGGTGAGAAAATCGATAAAAATAATTTTTCATATACTATTTGTTATAAACAAATTGTGGGTTACTACTTGCCAAGGTGGGGGATTTGGATGCCAACGGAAGTTGGCGATAATTTTCAATACTCACATCATGCTCATCCTCTTCCTCCTCGGGTGTACTATGCATGGCGTTTAAGAATTTTTCGAAATTTTTAGATTGATTTTCAATATTTATTTTTGTTACTTTTTTCAATACTATTTTTATTTTCCACAAACAACAACAAGAAACCACACACGCTCTGGCCAAATATCAGCGTATTACTACTACCAGGCACAGTAACAAAAACTAAAAGTCGAATAAACCCCGTCATAACATTTTATATGAATCGTAGATTTTTTTGCTGAGGTTATTTTCCATTCATTCATTCAGTTCGTTAGTTCATTTCGTTGTCTGTCAATTCATAATGAAACGGTTTTTTTTTTTGTTCCGCAGGAGTGGGAGGAAAAAAGTGGGGTTTCCCTCAATTTTCTGCTTTGTTAAACTATTCCTGTCTCAAATGGAATTAACTAATTTTGTGGTGGCTACAGGCGCTATGGAAAGTAGACAGCGAACTAAACGGAAAATATTCCAACTCGGTCCCCAGCAAAGTCGGAACAAAAACAACAACAAAAACAAAACAAGTAAAAAATATTCAATTTATTGACATTTTTATGGCAGTGGCGTCATGACGCCTAATATTTGCCACTTAACATGTAGATTGGTTGGAACGGAATCTCATGCCCACCCGGCAAGTGGGACAAATTGATGGCATTTCCAAATTAATTAAGTAAATTGGAATTTTCCCAATATTAGAATATTAAGAAGATTTTTTTTCTCAAGGACGTACATGTTTTGGAGATTTTTTAAGGGCCATGAAAGCAATAGACGTCGATTTTTTAATGATATTTTAGGAAATGTTTTCAAATGCAATGAAAGATCTTTTGCAAGGACCATCTGAGCAATAAACTTGGACTTTCAAAGAAAATTTTGAGGATGGAGTGTTTTAAGGGATTTTAAAGGATAATCTGAGCTGCAAACGTGGATATTTGATAATATGTATTTAAAGAACAATCTGATCAAAAACGTCGATTTTTTTAATTTTTAATGAAGGATAATAAGAGCTTTTAAGGATTCTTTCGAGTAGCATCTGAGCTATACACGGAGATTTTTAAAGATTTTTTTGGAGGATAATCAGGGCTACAAATGTGGATTTTTTAAAGAATTTTTGTAGGATAATCTGAGTATAACCCTGGCTTTTTAAATAATGTTTTCTAGGTCCATATGAGCAATGAACTAGGATTTTTAAAGAACTTTTTTGAGGGACAAAGGATGTTCCGAGCTATAAACGCAAATTTTTGTGAGTATTGTTTTGACGGATAATCTGAACTGCAATCGTGGAATTTTTAAAGAATTTCTTTAAAGAATAATCTGAGCTATAAACGTGAATTTCTTAAAGATTTTTTTCTAAATAATCGGAGATACAAACGTGGATTTTTAAAGGATTCCTTCGTAGGATATGACCTACAAACGTGAATTTTATAAGGATTTCTTTATAGGATATGGCCTATAACGTGTGTTTTTAGGAATAATATAACCTGCAAAAGTATATTTCTAAGGGATTCCTTTTTTAGGATATGACCTACAATCGTGGATTTTTAAAGGATTTCTTTGTAGGATATGACCTACAAACGTAGAATTCTAAAGGATTCCTTTTTTCTGATATAACCTACAACGTGAATTTTTAAAGAATTCCTTTGTAGGATATGGCCTTCAAATGTGGATTTTTAAAGGATTCCTTTGTAGGATGTGGCCTATAATCGTGGATTTTTAAAGGATTCCTTTATAGGATATGACCCACAATCGTGGATTTTTAAAGGATTCCTTTGCAGGATATGGCCTACAAATGTGTATTTTTAAAGGATTTTTTTTTTGTAGGATATGGCCTACAAACGTGGATTTTTAAAGGATTTTTTTGTAGGATATGACCGACAAACGTGGATTTCTAAAGGATTCCTTTGTAGGATATGGCCTTCAAATGCGGATTTTTATAGGATTCCTTTGTAGGATATGGCCTACAAACGTGAATTTTTTTAAGGATTCCTTTGTAGGATATGGGCTTCAAATGTGAATTTTTAAAGGATTCATTTGTAGGATATGACCTACAAACATGAATTTTTCAAAGGATTCCTTTGTAGGATATGATCTACAAACGTAGATTTTTAAAGGATTACTTTGTAGGATGGCATTCAAATGTGGATTTTTAAAGGATACCTTTGCAGGATATGGCCTACAAACGTGGATTTTTAAAGGATTTCTTTGTAGGATATGACCTACAAACGTGGATTTTTAAAGGATTCCTTTGTAGGATATAGAGTGGGTTTTTAAAGGATTCCTTTGTTGGATATGGCGTAGATTTTTAAAGGATTCCTTTGTAGGAAATAGCGTGAATTTTTAAAGGATCCCTTTGTAGGATATGACGTGGATTTTTAAAGGATTCCTTTGTAGGATATTTAGGATATGAATTTTTCAAAGGAGTTTTAAAGGATTTCTTGCAGGATATGACCTACAAACGTTAATTTTCCAAAGAATTTCTCCGAAGCTTAATCCGAGCTACATACATGGGATTTTTAAAGTTTTTTTTCAAAGACCGTATAAAAAATACACATGGACTCGTTAAAGATTTTTTCAAGATCCACTTGAACTTATATTTTAGAAAATATTTTCATGGAGCAGACGAGGATTTTTCACAGAATATTTTTTGGGACCAAACGTAATTTTTTAGATTATTCTTCAAAGACCAAAAGGGTTTTTTTATAGATTATTATTCAAGGATCAAATGTTAGCTTTTAAATATTTTTCTTCTAGGACGAAACGTGGATTTTTGGACTTTTAAAAAATTGTTACAGGTCCAAAAGTGTATTTTTTTTATAATTTTTTCTCAAGGATTTTTAAAGATTTTCTCAAGGATCAAATGAATATTTTCAAAAATATTTTCTTCTCGATCAAAAACTGGATTTTTTATGGAAATCTTTTCATGGTCCCAATGGTCTTCATAAACTGAAATTTTAAGGGATAGGATATTTTTAATAATCCAAAAATCACAAAATCAAAGACATTTTCACAAGGATTTGTTGAGTTTTTTCATAAATCCAGAGCCTTTAATAACAGAATTTTTTAAGGATATCTTTTCAAGACGCACAGGTTTAAATAATTTGAGTCTTTAAAATTATCTTGTCAAGGACCAAAGTGTTTATAAATCTTAGAGTTTTCAAGGACTCCAAGAATAAAAATTTTATTTTTTCAAGAATTCCTTCAAGCTACAAAAAAATCAATGTTCAAAGGAAGATTTTTAGGAATTTTTGGCGAACCAAAGAATCCACAAAGACTTGATTTTTCAAGCTTTTCTTGTCAAACTGTACGCTAAACTCAAGAACCCAAGAGTCGACAAGACATGGGTTTCTCAAGGATAATTTTTAGACGTGTACTCTCAAAGATAGGTTTTTAAGACGTAGATTCAAGAATGTTTTTTTCAAGGATATTTTTAAATCGTGGTTTCTTAATGTATTTTTTCCAAGACGTGGATTTTTTAAGGAAATTTATTTTAAGACGGAAATTTTTAAGGATTTTTTTTGAGGACGGGGATATTTCAAGGATGTCATTAATGAATTTAATTTTCAAGGATATTTTTTTAAAGAAGTAGATTTTAAGGATATTTTTTAAAAATAAATTGATATTTCGAGGATATTTAAATACCTGAATTTTTCAAAAGCCTTTTTGCAAGACAGAGATTATTCAAGACATTTTTTCAAGACGGCAAATTTATAGAAATGTTGGGTTTTTAAAAATCCGAATAGATAGATCCAACATTAATGTTTAAGAATATTTTTTAAAACCCGGATTTTTAAGGATATTTTTCTAAAACGTGGATTTTTCTAGGATATTTTTTCCAGGCGTGGATTTTTATTAAAATTTTCAAATATATTTTTAAAGACGTGGAGTTATTAAGTATATTTTTTTAAGATGTGGATTTTTTAAGAATTTTTTTAAGAATGATTTTTTAAGGATATTTTTTAAGAGGTGGATTTTTAAGGATTTTTTTGTCAAAAATTAATTTCTTAAGGATATTTCTTAAAAAGTGGATTTTCAAAGATATTCTTGATACGGTGATTTTCAAGGATATTTGGTAAGACGTGATTTTTTCAAGGATATGTTTTGAAAATAAGTGGATTATTAAGGATATCTTTTCAAGACATGGACATTTTTAAAGTCGTTGAGTTTCGAGGATATTTTTCAAGAAGTGGATTTTTTACAATCTTTATAAGGACTTCTAACTATTCAAGATCCTTAACGGGACTGGTTTAAAATAATTTTCTAACTTTTTTTATTAAAAAAAATAAAACTATCCTTAATATCTATTGAATAATCATGCTTACTTGCTCATTGAGATTTTCGCACACCTCCAAACTTAGGCCATTCATTTTGTTGTGATGATTGTTGTTGTTATTTTCCGATTTCTCTTCGTAATCACAAATCAATTTATTTTTAAAATTCTTTAGATTTTCCAATTTAAAGCCGTTGGTATTGGTGTTGTTGGTTTTGTTGTTACTTTTGTTTGTCAAACTTTCTAAATTTATTAATTTATTGTTGTTGTTATTGTTATTATTGTATTCGGCATCCACCAATTTATTATCGATGAAAATCAATGAATTCGGTCCCGAATTCGATGGCACAATATCTTCAAAATCCGCCGGATTTAAACTCAAAAATGTCTCTTGATCGATCAGGATGGGCTGTTTGCCATAATCCGTTTCGTAGCCACTGCAGCCCAGCGAATAGGCCGAATTGGTCATAGACTGGGACGAGTAGGGACTGTACTGCTGATGGGGGTTGTTGTGATTGTGGGGTGCATTAAAGTTAAGATTTAAATCCTCGAGACTCTCCGTCGACTGTTTGTGGGGCGAGGATTTGTCACCAAAGGTCAGGATATTATTGTTGAGCGATGATTTTTGTGATTTATTGATGGCTGTTATTGCTCTTGGTCCGACAAACTCAAACTGGCCGGCCCACATATCATAGGCCAAATCAATGCTATCTGGTTGGCTGGCGGGTTGACTTGATGACATGATTTGTTGTGGAGAGTTGTTTGTGAGTATTTTTTTTTGGTGGTTGTGGTGTAGGTTGTTTTAGTTTTGTAGATAGGACTTTGTAGGATTATTTCTTTTGTAAGGCACTAATTTTCGTATTTTTAAGGAAGACTTTTTTATGATTTTTTTGGTATTTTTCTTTGTGTGGTTTATCAAAGTTTTCAGAAATTTTTACATGATTTAATTTTTTTGTGAGAGAAAAAAATTGTTCAGATATCTGTATAGGAAATTTTATTAAATTAAATATATAGCACTTTTGTTTTTCAGAATCACAGATAAATTGTCATATGCGGCGAGGTTTAATAGCAGCTGTTGTGGTGATTTATTGAATGTTTAAATATTTTCAATTATATATATTCTATTTATTTTTATAACTACTTATTTCTCACTTAATCTTTATTTAATTTATTTTTTAATTATTTAAATATTGATCGCCATTCAAAAAAATAAGATTTTTTTGAAATATCGTAAATTGTTAAAGGTGGCAAGTATGTAGTTTTAACTCTTCAACATCTTTTTTCAATGTATTATTTACAATTTCATCATATTTTTCCAAAAAAAATCGAATATCGTAAATTTTATAATTTACGATATTAGAACTTTTTGTCTACAAATAGCACATTTCTTGATTTTGTTACTCTAAACAACTTATTTAAGTGTCTAGGGTAGAAATTCGCAAGGAATTTGTTCGTTTTTCTAATATCGTAAATCTCAAAACACGAAAACACTGCATTTTAAAGTGGAATTTTTCTTACAAATGTACAAAATATTGCTCTATGCAAGCGTTGATTTCTCAAAATTGGTCTGATTTTATGAAATAATATCTAATATCGTAAATATTAAAATGGAATAAGTGATTTTTTCATTTATTTATTTTTTTTTTTTTTTGCTATCGGCCCTCATCCAAAGCCGCTGATTTAAAATAGGCGAGAGAAAAAGGTTATTACTCCCTTAAAAAATTGGATATCTAATGTTTAAACAATTTACGATATTACAAAAAATCGTTTAAAAACAATAATTTAGTATTTTTATGCCCCTAAGCACCGTTTCTTACAGAGTTTTGCGAAAATTCTCAGGTATTTTCATTAAATATCTAATATCGTAAATGCCAAAAATTGATTAAAAAATATATTTTTGAATGAATTTTTCTCAAGAAGTGTACAAATTTTACTAACTTTTAGTACAAACACGAAAATTGAACAAAACTTTTAGTACAAACACGAAAATTGAACAAAAATTTGAACATTCCTTACATGCAATTTAACCAAGTTTGCTTGAAAATCACGTAGAATTTCTAATATCGTAAATAAATATGAAAACCCAAACCAAATTGAACGGAAAAAAATATGAAATATCAACTTTATTGCGAAAGTAGCTTTAAGAATATAATTAAAAGACAATTTTCAATATCAAATATCGTAATATCGTAAATTTTTAAAATTTACGATATAAAAGATGTTTGTATAAAAATTATATTTTGGGGTTTTTATGTCTTTGAACAATTTTTTACAGTGATAATTTCAAAATATCGTCAAATTTCTAATATCGTAATGCATGTAAAAAGGAAATGTTTGATTTTTTTCGATTTTACAGAATAATATGGAAATGCATCATTTATTGCTATAGTTTTGTTAAGAAACTGAACTAAATATCACTTTTTACTATCAAATAAGTAATATCGTAAATTTCAAGTTCTTATGATGGGAGAAATTTTTGTGTAAAATTAATAAATTGTGCATCTTATGGCTTTAAAAAAGTTATTTAGCTAATTTTTACTTGACATTTTTCTCTAAATTTCTAATATCGTAAATGAATATGAAAAGCAAAACTCATTTTAATAGAAAAATTAAGAAATTCACGTATATTGGCAACATATTTCAAAGAAACAGTTTAAAAAGCACTTTCTAATATCAAACACTTAATATCGTAAATTTTGGACATTTACGATAAAAGAGATTTTTGTCAAAAAGTAATAATTTTGGGGTTCCTAAGACTTGGACAGGATTTTTGAAGGATTTTGTTTAAAAATCTTAGTAATTATCTAATATCGTAAATGCCTATGGAATGAAAAGTGCTTGCATTTTTTTCAATTTTACAAAAATAATGTTGAAATACTTCATTTATTGCGAATGTGATGTTAAGAACTGATTAAAAAATTGCTTTTTACAATCAAATATGCGATATCGTAAATCTTAACAACTTACGATATTAAATTTGTTTGACTAAATCAATAATTTCGTGTTCTAATGCCTTTGAACTTTAACTTTATTTATTCGATTTTACTTGAAAATCTCGTCAAATGTCAAATATCGTAAATACATATGGAATGAAAAGTGCTTGCATTTTTTTCAATTTTTAAAAATAATATATATTGCGAATGTGATGTTAAGAACTGATTTAAAAAATGCTTTTTACAATCAAATATGCGATATCGTAAATTTTAACAACTTACGCTAATAAACATTTTTACTCAAAATCAATAATTTGGGGTTTTAATGATTTTTAACAAGTTATTTATGCGATTTTACTTAAAAATCTCGAGAAATATCTAATATCGTAAATGCATATGGAATAGAAAATGCTTGCATTTTTTTCCATTTTACAAAAAAATAATGTTGAAATACTTTATTTATTGCGAATGTGATGTTAAGAACTAATTAAAAAATGTTTTTTACAATCAAATATTCGATATCGTAAATTTTAGAAATTTACGATAATAAACATTTTTACCCAAAATCAATAATTTGGTGTTCTACTGGGTTTCAGCAAGTTATTTAAGCGATTTCGTTTTAAAATTTCTTGAGAAATTTCTAATATCGTAAATGCATGCGAAAAATGAAGTGTTTGATTTATTAAAATATGTTGAAAACCTTCCTTTATTGCGAATATATTCTAAGAAATTGTTCAAAAAATCACTTTTTACAATCAAATATGCGATATCGTAAATTTAAAAAATTTAAATATAGGATATTTTTGCCAAAAACTAATAATTTGGGTTTCTAATGACTTTAAACATGTTATTTACACGATTTTGTAGAAAAAAATACTAATATCGTAAATGCATGTAAATAAAAAAATTTTTCATTTTTTCAGTTTAATAGAAAAAAAATTGAAATACTTAATTTTTGCAAATGTTTCATTAAGATACTGATTCAAATATCATTTTTTACTATCAAATATGCGATATCGTAAATATTAAAAATTTACGATATTAAAAATTCTTGCCTAAAATCAATAATTTGGTGTTCTAATGCCTTTGAAAAAGTTATTTAAGCGATTTTGTTTAAAAATCTCGAGAATTTTCTAATATCGTAAATGAGTGCGAAAAACAAAATTTATTAAATTGTATAGAAAAAATGTTGAAAAACTTTCTTTATTGCGAATAATTTTTAACAAAAACCAATAATTTGGGTTTTTAATAGCATAAAAAATTATTTAAACGATTTTGTTGGAAAGAATCAAATACCGTAAATGCATCTGGAATGGAAAAGGTTTAATTTTTTTCAATTTTGTAGAGAAAATGTTGAAATCGTTTATTTATTGCGAATGTTTCATTAAGATACTGATTCAAAAATCATTTTTTACTATCAAATATGCGATATCGTAAATTTTAAAAAATTTACGATATTTAATATTTTTGCATTAAATCCATAATTTCATATTCTAATGCCTTTGAAAAAGTTATTTAAGCGATTTTCTATACAAATTTATAATATCGCAAATCTATTTTAAGAAGCAAATGTTCGATTTTTTTTATTAAATGAAAAATGTTGAAGTACTTCCTTTATTGCGAACTTTAAGGTCACCTTTAGGTCAATTGCCCTTAAGTTATTTCGTGGCAAAATAATAAACAAAAAACAATTATTTGTTTATACTTTGATGGTCCTACAGTGTTTGCCATCTTTCGTATGGCCATCTTCATGAGTTGCATGCGGTTGATTTTTCCCCCTTTTTATTGTTTATCCAAATTGAATTTTTGGCAAAGATGTTATCATTATATTTTCCATGTGCTTTTATTATTATTTTTTAAACAATTTCCAACTGTGGCCTTAAACACTAAAATTTGAAGCCAAAAAAATCCAGAGGAAGTCATAAACATAAAAAATATTCGATTATGTTCTCTGATTTGTTTATCAAACAATATGGTTCCAAGGCAATTACTTGTATATTATTTTTTTTCTTTTTTGTTTGGATAAAGATCTGGAGTTGAAGATTTACTCCGTTATGGGTGTGAATTCCAGAAAATATTCTGCTCCTCATTTTTTTGCCTTTGAAAATTGGTAATGAAAATAATGCCAGGAGTCGCAATTGAAAGAAGATGACCACGAGAGACAGGAGAGAGGGTATTTCTCACTCTCTTCAATGAGAGCTTAGAAATTTCATATCTTCCTTTTTCTTATAAAACAAAAATACAAAAAATTTTTGCCAAGTGCCATTGCCAAATTTTCAAATTTTCTTCTACCAAAAACCACAACCCTCTCCATTTCTATAATTAATTTTCATTTTTATTTTCTGTTACCCGCTTCTTCAAAATTTTGCATAATTTATGCATGGAGTGAAACTTTTCCAAAGAGGGCCACCACATATTTAATTTTATGCAGTTTTTACATTCAGTTTTCCATTTCCATGAGCATTTAATTAGACGGAAAAAGTAGAAAATTACAGCGAAGCAAATGTGTAATGAAAAATCAAAATCATTAAAACAAAGTCATTTCATCAAATGGAGGGGGTTTTTGCAAAAAGAAAGTAAATTAAAATAGATTTCTTTAACAACAATTGTTTTCAATAATTATTCTCTATATCAATTAAGCATTGCGAAAAAAATAAGTGAAAATGGAAATTTTCCATAAGTGGCCTTTTTGAGGCATGCAAATGTGCTTGCAAAGAGGGCCTTGAACTTGGAGGGGAAAATTTTGAAGATTTTTAAAAAATTTAAATGAGGGAAAAAATGAGTTTCTTTAAAATTTTTTAAGCCTTAGAGGACTAAAAATATATATTTTTTATTAAAAAACAAGAAAAAAAAGCTGTAACTTCGGCCGGACCGAACTCTGAATACCCTCCCCCATTTGGAACGAATTTGGCAAATTTTTTTAAAAAATAAAATTCGTTAAAAATTCTATTAAAATATTAAAAATGCCGAATGTAGCCGTTATATTAGGGTATATGCGACGACGTGCACCTGCATAGGCAACCTTTGTCATAAGCCATTAAAATATT